AGTATGCAGCGATTTGTGGATGGATGCTTCAATCGCGATGTAAATTTCACATTCTACCTCTTGATTGCCAATATCATCTTGTGCTCTTTTTCTCTTAGTAGCTATAGAACTTGCGCTACTTTCATTGCTTATGATGCTCGACGAACTGCCACGTCTGGTGTTTTGCGTGAATGGCAGTAAGCCGAGTAGTGATGTTGAGCTGAAATTACCCTCCCCAGAATCCGAGGGGCAGTGTTCGACCACCGGAGCTTTCACCTGGTAGGAGTCGACGGTTGGATTTATCAAAGTATTGGAGTTACCTCCTGGGGTATTATTATTTGTTTGTTCAGCTAGCATTTCATTTAGTTTGCCTTTACGGAAGAGCTCCCGTTGTGGTCATTGTTAGCGGTTCTGTCGTATGGCTGGCTTGCCACCCTTCAGAACTCGGGCCCCCTCACTGCGACAAAGTCACGACCACTCGAAGGGGAGTAGATAGGGACAGTGGGAATCTCGTTAATCCATTCATGCGCGTCACTAATTAGATGACGAGGCATTTGACTAAAATAAAAAATTCTCTCATTTATTTATCAATTATACATCATATACAGGGTGCGGCAAAAGTATGGAGACACCTGAAAATTTCGCATAATAATCGTAGAAAAAAAATCTAAAACCTCATATCCGACGTATTTTTTGATGAGGGATTCCAATGGTGACCTTGAATTTGACCTTGAACATAACCTTCCAGCTCCAGCGACCCAAAAATCGATTTTTCAAATGTAACCCCCATTTCTTATTGCAGATTTGAAAAGAGCACAAAATTTCACGTCAAAATGTATGTTTTGTTTTTTTGTTCAAGGTCATTTTAAGGGCGTTACAGATGCAAATAAAACCCCAATTTAACCTAAAATGAAGTTCAAGAAAGGGCTTTCTTTCTCATTGTACCGCCTCACTATGTACCTTTTTGCGAATTTTATTGACGAAATCGGATTCCCATCGATAAAAATAGCTAAAAAAATGCAGGTGGTGGCATTCGAAAGGTAATTGTATGCACTTTTTCGAAAAATTATTCCCGGACGTAATTATAAGAGTCCACATCCCTAAAAAACGACCTAAACGAGCACTTTTTTTCTACTTTTCGTTATTTTCGAACGACATATCAAAAAAAGTAATTGTTCGATTTGACTCGATATTTTTTCGAAAAGTAGAGAAAAATACCTTTATTTTCTTTTTTTAAACATATTTTTTAGTGCTATGTATCGAAAGTTATTAACAATTTTATTTAGTAGTAAATTAGCACGAAACCGCCTTTTTCCTTGAAAGCAATTGAATTCATATTGCGTTCAATTTATCGAATTTACGGTTTGAAAACAAGAGGAAACATTCATAAAAAAAGTTATTGAAGGTCTAAAATCTTTTTTTAATATCCTTATATTGTTTTGATAAAATTTACACTTATTACTAGCTTATTCAGCACTATTATTATTGATATTTACTCTTGAAAGCACCAAATGACGAGATCTTGCATTGTTTGTTTATTCAGCTTTAACTTATAAACTACACATGCAATCTCAAATAGAGTCTCAAATTATAATAGAGAAAACGATTTCACATCGAAATGAATGTTTGAAATGTTTTCGAAGCTCAAATCATAAAAAATCGCGCGGTATACAGGCAAAATTACGTTATTTTGATGAATTTTCATAGACACGATAATATGCGTATTTAATAGACTTTTTCGTGATTGAATAGACACGCTTGTAATAGACATAATAAGCTTTTGATACAATGTGTATGTTTTGTTTTCATATGCATCTGTACCCATGTATGTTTTGATTTTTTGGAGTTCCGTAAAGTGTCTCGCGCGATTGTGTTTACCTTCGATTTTTGTAAGACTATCAAAACAATGAGTTGATGATGAGTGGCTTGACACGCACGTACACACACACACACTAACACATACAAGAGCTTGTACAATTGTTGACATTTTGATCAGTTTGTGCTGTGTGCTCGAAGTGGACAGTACATCATTTTACGTGCATTTTCGTATAAAATTAGTGAAATTTTATTACAATGGGCCGTTCAAATACGATTCCACATAAAAAAGCAGGTAGACCTTCGAAAAAAACGAATCTACCTAGTAAAGGTGGTAGAAAGAAGAAATATATTTTCGATCCAAGTGTAAGTGTGAGTGAGAGAACAATATACAGACGAGCTCAAGAGCTCGCAGCTCAATACAATTATAACATCCAAATTATTGAACTCGCCCTGACGATCGCAAAAAAAAAGAATGGAATCGATTCTCGTGCAGTAGTTGTAAGTGAAAAAAGTGATGCAATTAAACACGATGAAGAATCTGCTTTAGCAATATTTTTAAATCTTGATTTTAGCGTGTATCAGTACAAAAGCTTGACTGCTGACTATTTCAATAGAATCTGTCGTATATTTCCCAACTATAATAAAATAGAGGCTGCGAAAAAAAATTGTTTAGTGGAAATTTTAATAAATTCGGAGAGTGAAGTTATGGTATCGTTACAAAATATGTTAAATAAATCGATTGAACGTTTGTGCGAGTCAGTGGCAAAGGATTGGAGCAGCATGAGCTTATTTAATTTAGAATTTATTGTGTCTTTAGGTTTTGACAATTCTTCGGGTCACGTGAGTCCAAATTAAGTGGCAGTTGATCAAAATAATAATAATACGACACAAGTTTCACTTTTTGTTAGCTGTTTAAATATCATGCAAATGTCATGTACTTTGAAAGGCTTTGAAAATCAGTGGATAAACCCGACTCCCTAAAGTATCCGTTTTACGCGCCCATTAAGAATGTCGTTCGAAAAAGAAAATAATGAAGCTATTAATCAAGAAATCGAACGAATTAATTATGAAATAGATCATTTGAAAGTTCACAATTTCAAGCTCGATAATGATAAAACTGTTCAAGTATGATGTATACAATGTTATGCGGGAACGTCGAATTTGATTAAGTTCGTTTGCCTTCGAACGGTAGCCCTGAGAAGGCTAAAAACCGAAAGAAGTTTAAAAGTTTACACTCTTGTTACTGCCAGGACGGTTTTAATTGAACTTTTACAAAAGTTCGTTTGCTTTCGAACAGTAGCCCTGAGAAGGCTAGTAACCGAAAAGAGTTTAGGAGTTTACACTCTGCCACTGCTAAGACGGTTTGAATTGAACTTTTACAAAAAGTTCGTCAGCTTTCGAACGATAGCCTTGAAAAGGCTGGAAACCGAAAAGAGTTTAAGAGTTTGCACTCTGCCACTGCTAAGACGGTTTGAATTGAACTTTTACAAAAAGTTCGTCAGCTTTCGATAGCCTTGAAAAGGCTGGAAACCGAAAAGAATTTCAGAGTTCGCACTCCGCAATTGACAAGCCGGTTAGTCTCGATCTTTAGCAAAAGTTCGAGGTCTTTCGAAATCCTACGTGAGATGGTCCTGAAAAGGACCGAGGCCGAGTTGGCGTGTACAAGTTCCAAATTGTTTAGTTGGTGATTGATGTGGATCGGGTGGTAGCCGAGATCCGATGTTGTTCCGTAGTCAACTCTGCAACAGAAGGTTGGAAATCCCGTTGAGCTCGTAAACTTGGCTGCGGTGACTCTGCGATGAATTTGTCTTGTCCTTGCTGGTCAGTTGTGGCCGGAAAGTCCAGGCCGCACTCGCTGAATGGGAAAGATCGAGGCTCGAAGTGGCCGATACTTAAGCCCTGGCGGGGATAAGTCGCTTGTGGGTGCCGGCGCTGCGCCACCTAGCGGTCGCTAGTGAAGCTTCCCAGCGCAAGAAGTGGGAAGGAGGCTTGGAAAGGAGCGAGAAATAATAAGATTGAGTATATGTGTTTAACTCAGGTTTATTAACGTTCCCTAGGCCAAGCTCTCGCGGGCGAGCGAGATCCGACTCCGGAAAGTCCAGGAGTGGAACTGCGTGCCGAATCGAATCGGCGCTGTCTTTTATACCGCTGGCCGGTCGGCGCGCGAGCCGGCAGCGGCCAAGTGGCGGAGTGGGGATACGCACGCAGGAGTCTCGTGTCGTTGGCGTATATCAACAAGTATGTTATACAAGTATGATGTATATAAAACATTGTTTGATGGAAAGTGTGTAAATACTCTTGTGAAAAATAATGCTACATGTCGATGTCCTATGTGCTTAAAAACTACACATCAATTCGGAAACCCTGCTTGTGATTTCACTCCTCTGAAATCGTCACTATCTTTTGGATTAAATTTGTTGCACGCTGAAATTAAAGTCTTTGAGCACTTACTACACATGTCGTATCGTTTAGAACTTGGAGAATGGGATATAATTAATAAATGGGATTTAATTTGACCTTGAACATAACCTATACGTTACGGTGAACCAAAAATCGATTATTTGCACGGTGACCCCCATTTTTTATGACAGATTTGAAAAGAGCAAAAAATTTCACGTTCGACTGTGTATTTTGTTTTTTTTTTAAAGGTCATGTAGGAAGCGGTACAATGAGAAAAAAAGCCCTTACTTGAACTTAATTTTAGGTTAAATTGGGGTTTTATTTGCATCTGTAACGCTCTTAAAATGACCTTGAACAGAAAAACAAAACGTACATTTTGACGTGAAATTTTGTGTTCTTTTCAAATCTGCAATAAAAAATGGGTGTAACATTTATAAAATCGATTTTTGGGTCGCTGGAGCTTGAAGGTTATGTTCAAGGTCAAATTCAAGGTTACCATTGGATTTCTCGTCGAGAAATACGTCGGTTATGAGGTTTTTCATTTTTTTTCTACGCTTATTATGCAAAGTTTTCAGGTGTCTCCATACTTTTGCCGCACCCTGTATATATATTACAAGTTGTTATGTATGTATTATATCACAATCATTATACTACTATTGGAGATCATTATACCTATGGTCTTATGGGTAGGTAGCACCCAGTGTTTAGGTTGAACAGTGCAACCACTCCCCGTCACCTGACGGAAGTCGCGTAGGTGAAGTCCCTGTGAATGATGGCACCGCCAATCAGCACTTGTGTCGCAATCACAGCCAAGTCTCTTCGATTACACGTTCCAAGCTTGCCAACTTGTCGCACCAGAGACCATGCCAGGAGAGAATCACAGGTAGATGACAGATGTTGGTTGCCTTGTACGTTGATCTCATGAACTGGTTGATGTCGTCGTTGTCGGACTTCTCTCTCTTTGCGCTATAGACTTGGCGCATATTCTGCTGGTCGTTGGTCACCTGGGCGTCGATGACTATGCCGAATCTTCCCATGTGGGCAATCATGTCCGGCTTCCTCAGGCCTGCTGCTGTTGGTATGATCAGCTCTCTTGCAACCTCGAAGCCCTGCCGTCGGAGACGTCTCTCGATGTAGTTTAGCACTGCGTCAATTCGCCGGATTCTGGCAGCATGACCGCGCGGGCAGCACTGGAGAATATGGTTATTAGTCTTCTGTGCACTGCAACCGGCGCGGCAGCTGCGATCGGCGTGACGACCTCTCGTTGTACGGAAGCGAGTTGGTAGAGCTCTCGTTTTGACGCAGTGGCATTGGACATAGTCTTTGCCCAACAGCAAGGCCGAGCCGTCTACTACTCAGGAATGTTGGCCGGTGACATCCGATGAACGGGTTAGACTCCTGCCCTCGATGGTGTCACTCAGAGACTTCGTCCACTTTTTGCAGATCTGCTCGATGTTGTTGAGCTGCGTGCCTCCATCACAAAGTCTCTTCTCACATGTGGCCAGCTCCGCTGCTATATATTGCTGGGTGATATATGCAATCATATTATTGTTGTTAGCGTCGGAAGTCGGAGTGGGGAGCCAAGCTCGGATCCGATTCCGACGTAATAACGGTGCGAGCCATCGGAAAGATGGTATACCGAGGCCGCCCGCCGCTGCTGGAGTGTGGAAGTAGCCAGTCGGCGTGTCATTAGGCAAGCGAAGCCATTGACGCACAGACGCTCGAATCATACGATCCGTATGATTCAGGTCAGAGATGGTATTCTGACCAAGAACGAGTGTGTGGTACATGCGAGGGATAGCAAACGCGCGGAGCGCAAATAGGCGCTGCTGTGGCTTGAGTGGCACAGATGACAAGCGCTGTAGGAAGGGGGCCAACTGAGAAGCAACGGCCTTCATACATCTTCCTTGCAGCTTTAACACTATCGAATGCTTTTGCTAGATCAAGTATGGCGATGTTAGATAGGCGTACCGACTTGAAGCGACTACGGAGGATGATATCGAGAAGGATGATATTGTCTCGACAGCCATCGATGCCAGCCTGAAAGGCACGTTGTTGGTCATTGAAATCGACCATAGCATCGATAGCCATGGTGATTGGCCTGTAGTCAGAGGGGTCGGCCGAACCGGCCTTCTTCGAAATGAAGATGGTCTTCGCGTTTGCGAGACGAGATGGAAGTTTCTCACAGAGAAGGATAAGATTAAGGATGAGTCATCGTTACTCCCGCCGTTTACCCGCGCTTGCTTGAATTTCTTCACGTTGACATTCAGAGCACTGGGCAGAAATCACATTGCGTCATCACCCGCAAGGGCCATCGCAATGCTTTGTTTTAATTAGACAGTCGGATTCCCCTAGTCCGTGCCAGTTCTGAGCTGAGCGTTAAATGGCAACCGAAGAGGACGATCGGAGCGGCGTAACCAACACGAAAGCCTCGAAGCAAGAAAGATCCGCGGGAGGCCGGGGCAACGGACCGAGCTCGACGCGGGGCAACCGAGCGCACGAGGGCGTACGCGCGTGAACGCGCACGCTACCTCGAGCGACGACTGCGCACGACTCGCCCAGGCCCACCACCTCAGCCAGACCCACTTTTCGATCAAGCCCGACACACCCCGCCCTTATTCCGAAGTTACGGATCCAATTTGCCGACTTCCCTTACCTACATTATTTTATCGACTAGAGGCTGTTTACCTTGGAGACCTGCTGCGGATATGGATACGAACCGGCGCGACTGTTCCACGTGGCCCTCTCCTGGATTTTCAAGGTTTGAGGGGACGATCCGGACACCGCCGCGACTGCGGTACTCTTCACGTTCCAAACCCTATCTCCCTGCTAGAGGTTTCCAGGGAACTCGAACGCTTATACAGAAAAGAAAACTCTCTCCGGATCTCCTGACGACGTCTCCAGGTCACTTTGGGCTACCCCGACGAACACTCTTACGAGAGGATTCCCTTTCGCCCGACGGGTGTGCGATTATGTTACATAAAGCAATGAATACATACACCGTCATCAACATAGGATTTCTCCTAGGGCTTAGGATCGACTGACTCGTGTGCAACGGCTGTCCACACGAAACCCTTTTCCACATCAGTCCTCCAGGGCCTCGCTGGAGTATTTGCTCCTACCACCAAGATCTGCACCGACGGCGGCTCCAGGCAGGCTCACGCCCAGACCCTTCTGCGCACACCGCCACGACCCTCCTACTCGTCAGGGCTTCATGACCCGATCCCCCGTGAAGAGGACCGAGCCCCACTTGCCGCTGACGGCCGAGTGTAGGCGCGACGCTTTAGCGCCATCCATTTTCAGGGCTTGTTGCTTCGGCAGGTGAGTTCTTACACACTCCTTAGCGGATTCCAACTTCCATGGCCACCGTCCTGCTGTCTTAAGCAACCAACGCCTTTCATGGTATCCTATAAGCGTCGACTTTGGCGCCTTAACTCGGCGTTTGGTTCATTACGACTTTTACTTCCTCTAAATGATTAAGTTACCGCAGGTTAACGCACAGTAACGCACAGTAACGCTGAGTAACGCACGAAACTTTACGTAAATGCTGGTTATTCAACGTTACTGAACGTTACAGCACTATACTGCACGTTGCTGCACGTTACTTAACGTCACATAACGTTTACGTACGGTAACGCACGGTTACGCACAGTAACGCACAGTAACTCACAGTTACACCGAGTGACGCACGAAACTACACGTAATTGCAAGTTATTCAACGTTACTTTTCAAGGGTCTTTCACCAGAATCGAATATACAATCATTTCTTAAAATTCTTTCATAGGTCACTATATTTTGCTCTTCATTAAACTGAAACTGATTCATATAATTTCCAGTAGTTTATCCAGTAGAATCTTCTAGACGTTTCGTATGCTTCTCCAAAATTTATAAACTTGGCTTCCGAGCAATGTGTTGACACATTTGATCAACTACACCTTTAGCAGCGTGCACAACTTTAAGAAGTTGTCCATTTCCATTCTCAAACGGGTAGCCAAAATGTGACCAAAGCGGGCCTCAATCGACGACACTTTGCACTAGATGTAACATTTGATGAATATTGAAAGTCGTGGCATCTTTTTTATAAAGTCGCTCGGTATTAGCAACAGCAAGTTTTTTCAATCAATTATTCGCTGTAATCAAGTCTTCTTGACTTATTGTTTCTTTCAATAATATATGAGAAGCTTCAACAATGAGTGACTAATGTTCAGCAAAATCATCCATTCCATAGCAATTTGATAGAAAAGGTAAGCTGTAATATAGCAACCAATTTTCCCACTCACGTGATTTTCAAAATTTTCTTTCGGTGATTGAACGTGACAATCTCGAAAAATGTGAAAACATTTTAATTGAAGCCAAATATCCATCAATACGTTTTTTTTCTAACATTGATAAGCCATGAGATTTGTTCGTCGAGTCCAACCGATATTCAGTGATTTGTCTTACAATGCCTAAAGGCAGCATGTGCATGAAATCCGGCACAAAACTTTCTATAATATTAAATTTATTGAGCAACAGAAGGGGTGATGCCGATTTAACCCCAAATACAACTCTACCTGTATCGACTGCTTCCTGGGCAAATTCTAAGGTATTTTCAAGTGTTCTGTTAGGCATAGCAGATTCTGTCAGGAGGTATTTAATAATGTAACCTATTTTATGAAATACTCTCTCACCACGATTTAAACACTAATTGCAGCCATAGTACCCGTTGAATTCGGTTGTTTCTTGCTTCGGAGCTCGTGCAACAAAATCAACAAAAAGCAAATCGCGTATATTTTAGTATTTTTTATTTCACCGTTAAGAATTAAATCCAAACCACCATCTTCTGTTGATAAGTTATTGATTGTTTTACTGTTTCGTACAATATGTAGAGGCCATATACTACATTTGGAACTCTTAAAAATAGGTGAGCCATCAGTATTGAATGTAAATGAAACGTATGATTTTTGATGAGTTTCCGGAATATTCTCACGAAACTCTTCATATTTCCGTCCATGGGAAATATTCTTCATGTCATCCAGAATATGTTCATTATTCATACCTTTCATGTAATATTCGTAATTAGAATTAATCAAGTGCTCTAGTTCCAACTTAAAATTTATAACCACAAAAAAGTCATGATAAGAAGGATCTTTGAGATTCACTATATTATAACAATTTTTGCACTCAATTCGGCGATCTTTGCTAGAATATTTGGTTATACATAAATGACATTTTGGACACACTCCATGGAACTCAAGTCCGGAAGTTGGATAAAGCATTTTGTGTAATTTATATCGAGTTTCTGGAATAATTTTATGTCCAACACTGGTGTTTATTAAGGTTCATTGAATTGACCATCTCTTATTAATTTTCCGAAATAGTTAAAAGGATTTTCATCGTAATTAAAGTTATTTTCTTTGTAATGTCCCGAATTATATGCTGATTCGTGACATTGTAATGTTGTAATGCTAATGTATACCGATTCATGACATTGTAATGTTGTAATGTTAATGTGTGCCGATTCTTGACATTGAAATGTTGTAATGTTGACGTATGCCACGAGTATATATAAGAGAAGGAATCAAAACTCGGGGCCATTTTACCACTGTCTGTTTACGTAGTCGGGAGTTCTACCAAATCAGAAACTACTGGACCACGATCGTTAATATCTCAAGTAGAAGGACCGGTGTGACCTGCTCGTACATCGAAAGCGTTCCAGTGCACCTGGGCTAAATAGCAGAGACAACTCAGACCGCCCAGAATCACCTGGTATCTCATAAGAGGCTTTGTGACCGTAGCAAGCTGACGGTTAACATTGCAAATAAATATAAGCAAGTAATTTTAACATCATTATATTGATTAAGTGAGAGCGATAAAGGATTGACCTTAGAACGGTCAACTCCTTTATTAATATGTTAAATAGTTTAAGGTATAATAAATAAAACCATACTTAATTCACATAAACTAGTATTCGTACGGACGAGTTATTTCCCCGAACTATAATAAATTTATTTAAACCATCCCATAAAGGTCTGGTTATCACATCTTCATCATCGTAAGCGAAGCTAAAACCACTGCTATTCATACTACTACCATCTTCAGATTCTGAAATTTCTTCAAAACTGAAATCTTAAAAGAATATTTATGAATGAATAAAAAGGATAGAAAATTCATAAATATAGATCTAATCGCTCACCTCGTAAAAAAAGGGTGCAATTCGTCGTTGAAAGAATTCTCAGCGTAGGTATTTACTTCTACTGATCCATCCGCATCGCCTGAAAATAAGTAACTTTCTATACATCAATTAATTTAAAAAATTGTTAAAAATGAAAACTAAAC